CAGCCTGTCACGCAACAGACTTCTCTAACATAGCAGTGTCCGTCGTGATATCCGTACAGTCAACTCCACATAAGTCCTTACTGAACTTGTTCCGTGTCGTCAATTCATGATATGGCGCGGCCCTTCCGCCGTCGAAACACGTTATTATCGGCCCTCACTGAGCAAGAGGATCGTATCCCTGGATCTCAAATTCCTCGCTCCAGTTCCCTGAGTCACCGAACACTGTCGTAGGTACAACATCAGCTTCTTGCCACACAATATCTTCGAACACTTACGCGTAATGCTGTAGTCGCTCTGAGTGTACACCTCCGGAATGGTGATCTGGGTCTGGCCCGAGCTGAGGTCGAAGCCCATGGCCAGGATAACTGGGGCATGTCAGCCAGAGGCATACTGCTACTTAGAATCAGCTACGCACCCGGAGTTCCAGTTTCGCCAAAGTTCAAGGTGATGTGACCAATCGGGTTAGTGACTTCGGCGGGCTTTTGGCTCAGGTCCCTGCAGCATGTGGTTCATTACAGTAACATCGTTCCAGACGAGGCTTCGCCGACGTTCAGCTTACCAGGTGACGGTATAGGTCTGTCCAGACTGCAAGACCGAACCTGTGGTCGGGTAGGTCACCTTTGGGTCCCAGACGTCGCGGGCCTGCTGGGCGGGCGCGGCATTGACGAACTGGGAAACGGTGGCGAGAGCGAAAGCAGCGAGGGCGGTTGTGAACTTCATGGCTGGCGTAAGAGATGGAAGGTCGTGAAAAAAATAGAGGTTGTAAAAGTGCGAAGGCGAAGTCGTGAGTGGGTAGCCCGCTGGGGCTCTGTCTCTGCTCGACTCCGACCTTTGTACCCTCCCGCGAAGGCGGCCTTGGGGGCCGCGAACAGCGCAGACGGCGAGTGCAGTCCGTCTATGCGATCTTCGCGCTGGCCTACACTGGCCTATTTCGCGCTTCTCTCGGCGACCGACACGCTTCTGAGCACAGCTGACGTAATGTCAGGTGCCGATGTGCCGCTATATCATACACGGCCCTCGGTGCTGCACAGGATCAGCTTCGTAGTGGAGATCATACTTGGATGGTACTCCCGTTCTGTCTGAATATCGCGGTCCCTTCGTTCACGCTGGTCTCGTGTTCGCGCTGCCGGTGAGTTCTGGCCGACTGCATCAAATAAGATCAGAGATTGTAATTTCGCGCTTTCCAGAATGTGGTCATGACCTCCGAGTCTCTCAGCCTCGGTGACAAGTACCGCCGCTCACCACGACTGGAACACTAGTCCTTGCACCTCCAGATGCGCATCTCCGCAACTCTCGGAGAAACAAACGCCGTCTGAGAGGTCAAATCTCGATGTCATGGTCAGTGCGTTGATCGAGGACCAGTGCTCGGCTAGCTCACCGCGACACCTTCGTCATCCCGGCGTACAACTGGCTGGCCATCCGCTTCGTGACGGACAACCCGGGCCTGTGGGCCTTCCACTGCCGTACGTCTTGCATCTCCTCCTCCGTTCGTCGATTGCTGAGAGACGCTTGTTTTTTGGGTGCGCCTCCCGCTAGACATCGCGTGGCACATGGCCGCGGGCTTGCTCATGCAGATCAACAGCCTGCCGACGAAGGCGGCGCAGCTCGACATACCGCAGGTGATTGTGGACCAGTGTGCGGCGAGTGTCGGCGGGGCGAGTGCGAGGTAACTAGTAGGTGGAGGGGGCGTGGCGCTGGGCCGCGAGGGAGAGTGTATAATCAGACATGTATGCTATGATTGGAGCGTTTATTTGCTGAATCTGGGGCAACCCCTGTGAAAATATTCATGACAGATGGCTGGCTGGAATGAGCAGCGGACTGGGTCGTCAGATGCTGCCCTTCAGATCTCGAGTAAGGTGCACCCAGGGCAACCTGCGCCCGGGATATTTGCGCCGGGCCCCCGGGTAGCTAGTCTGGGGGTTGGGGTTCCTCTCGAAACTCCCAACTCTTGGACGTTCTTCCACATCCAGAGTGCTGCGAGGGTCGTAGAAGCGGATAACATCACCTCAGCAGCGTGATACAACGCGCCCGCCGGTGTGATCGTGGACAGCTCATACGGGTGCCAAGCCGACGTTGAGAGCTGCTTTTTTTGCATGGCTGCCCGGTTCCTGCGCAAAAGCGCTGGGCAGGCTTCCCGACCTGCGGTGGTGGGTCGCACACGACGTCAGCGGCTGCAAGTGTTATAAAAAAACGCGGGCTGAGGGAATGCGCACCGGAGGGGGTTCGTCGCGTTCAGCGCCTGGCCGACGTACCGCCCGACGCCGGTGCCCATGCTGCAATCGCGCGAACGATCATCAGCGGGAGTCTCGACCACTAAAAACGGCACAGGCGGGAACTTACAGCCATGGCCGGTGTCCGTGCAGGTGGAACGGGTGGTCCCCGTCGTCGAGGTTGCTCTGGACATGCGATGTCAGTCCTAGGGGCAAGCGAGGGAGGGAGGGGGCGACGCACGATCAGCAGATCCACGACCTGCACCGAGTCCTCCGTGACCATGAACTGCTGACCCGCCTGTAGACTCCCGCCCTCGACGCCATACACGCCACCAGCCTGGGACGCCGCGCGCGCCTGCAGGAGCGTCGTCGTGCCCTCGAGCGGCGTCCAGCTCTGCACACACGCACACCAAAAAAACCAGCATTTTTCAGCGCGCAACGCAGACACACCAAGCCGCAGACGTATGCAAAAAAAAAAAAAAAAAAAAAACGCACCGTGCCGTTCATGAAGCCGAGGAACAGCTGCGAGTCCGCGAGCTCGAGCGCGAACGTGATCGGGTACTGGCGCGTGCTCGCCGGTGCGGCGGCGGCGACCGCGGGCGCGAGCTGCGCCGTGTCCAGGTCCTGGAGCGCCGCGTCGCTCGGCACGCCCGGGTCGTCCGTCTCGACGGGCAGCGCGGTGCCGTTCGCGGCGGGGCCGTATCTACCGTGCCAATTATCAGTCGGCGGCGTCGCTGCCTTGCAGACAAAAGAGAGGGGAACGCACCGGAGGACACCGCGGATGTCCAGGTTCTGCCCGGGCTCGACGTACGTGAACATGTCGCTCTGGAGCTCGGCGCGCATCCAGAAGGGGCCGCCGGTGGCGTTGCCGGTGCGGAGGAGCACGCTGTAGCGCTGGGCGACGGCGAGCGTGAGGCCCGTGACGTTGTAGGGCGCGACGAGCGTGCCGTCGGCCTCGATGACGCTCAGCGCGTGGTAGTCGACGCTGAAGCGGATGCTCCCGAACGAGCCCGTGTGCACGAGCCGCACGCGGTACGTCTTGTTTGGCTCGAGCGTGAACTGTTGGGAACACACGGGTCAGGCACGCGAGGGCGCAAAGAAGAAATGAACGGCGCACGTTGAAGTAAGAGCCGTTGCCGCCCCATTGGCCAAGGCCGTTGATAGTCTGGCAGCAGTGAGCTCGGTGATGGTGCAGGAATTAGGGAGGCGCCTTACACCGGCGTCCGGAACAGGCTCGTCTCCTTCAGTGCCGGCGGCTCCTGCAACGCCGTCGATTCCCCACGGCTGTTGGGTAACGAGAGGTCAGCAAAGTCAGAGATATACAGCGTCCGATGTCGAAAGCAACAGGCGATCGTCGCCAACTGTGGTGGACCGTAAAGCTCGATTGCAACAATGAATCTGTCATTCGCACGGTGATCAAGACTTGACAGGCATCGCCGGGCGAAAGTTGGTCGTCGTGATGCGCATCGTCGATGGGCAAGTATCAGTTCTCATGGAGAAGGGCGATGGAAGAGTGTCCATCAGCTGTTGGGCTGAGCGATCAACAGCCGCGAACGCGAATCATGATAGCCCGGCATTGGGTGCGCAAATCCCGAGGGACATCGCGAACGACGCGATCGCCGAACAGCAGACGGTGATGAACACCGCTCGCACGCCACGACGGGCCCAGCGAAGGGACCGCGCGCGCACGAGCCCTGTTTTGCGGAGCCGACAGGAGACGCGGGGCAGGCGAGGCTACTCACAGAGAGGTAGCTCGCGAGGAGCACGGTGCTGAACGTGTGGTACAGATCTGCGAGCTGCACGACGAGCTCGTCGTCCCACGTTGGGAATGCCTCGGGTGGAGGCGAGGACGGGTGGACGATCAGCGCACCGGTGACGCCGTCCGTGTACTGCGTCGAGTCTGCATTCGCAGGTCAGCACACTGGAACGCACATAGAGACGCGAGGACGCACAGTCTGTGGATCACGCGGTGGAAGCACAGGTTAGCGAGTGGCAGGTGAAAGTGGAGAGCTGGGCGTACGGGCACTATAAACGAGGTTAGTAGGTGTAGATGAGGGAGGAACAATGATAGAGGAAGGACATACTGCCACCAGGTCGTCCCCGAAAACTCGCCGAGGGTGAAGCTGGTGCATACAATCAGTCAGTGGGCATTTACGGAGCGTTCTGAGACGGACTTGTAGACCAAGTTCTGACCCGGCGGGATACCGCACTCGGTGATACCTGCTGTACCGTCGTAATAGTTCGTCTGGTTTTGAAACTAGACACGAGAGTTAAATATATGCGCGCATATACACAGCGAAAGTGGCTTACGAGACCATGCCAATGAATCGAGGTGCGATTTTCAAGCGTATTCGTGACGTTCACGACGATGCGATCGCCCTGGTTAGCCTCGATAGTGGGACCGGGATACATGCCGTTCACGACGAGCATGGGTTTGCTCACGCCGTCAGGCGCGCCTTGGACCTGGGAGATAACAAAGTCATACGAGCGCGTCTGGGCCGGCTGGCCCGCGAGGCCGTTGAGCACAAAGTTGTCCTGCGGGGTCGGCTGCAGCGGAGGGAGGCTCTGCTCCGACGAGGTTGTGCTGGACACGGAGGTCGAATTGTGGTGATGATGTTTGAGGCCGAGACCGAGACCCAATCCGAGGCCGAGCGCGAGGGCGATGATGAGAAGAAGCCCGGCGATGACGCCGTAGAGCAGCCCGCGGCGAGGACGGCCGCCAAGGACATGTCGTGAGGCCTGGGGAGCGGCAGTCTTTTCGCTGGCGGCGGTGAGCTGAGTGTGAGACTCTCTGGACATTGCGGGCCAGGGGAACGGGACTCGCAGTCGCGCGGGACTGAGCTGTGGGAGGGGCAGGACGGACACAGCAAGTGGGAAGCGAGGGGCGATGCGCTGGGAATCTGGTGCCGTATAATGAAGGAAGCGAACGTGCTTCCACTGGCGTTATCTCATATGGCAATTAGAGTACCGAGCGGCGTAGAGCTGGCGTCACTGTCGTCCGACAGGATAATCCGCCGCAGCGCAGAGGCCGGGCCAGGCCGACCCCGCGGACATGGGCTGTACGGAGATTTCAAAGTAAGTTGTGGTGGGACATGTGCTCGTCTCGCCAAAGATTGCTGCGAGGGAACGTTGTGCGCGGGCGCGGGGTAAATCACGTGCGGATCATTTTTTTTGCATGATGGTGGCGCGCCGTCGGCAGCGGTTGGGCTCTCGAACTGAATTCTTGGCGATGAACGTGCCCCAGCGGTCGTGTGCAACTGGCCAGTGTGCGATCAGGACGCTGACATCTCCACCTGCTTCTCATCAGGAAAGAAGGATGCAGAGCACAGGAACAACGACATGGGGCCGCGACTCTTTGACGACGGGAATGGGCCTGCCCATTTGTCGACTTCTGGCTTCGCCCCAGGCCCTTTTTAACGCGTCCTAAGCAAACCATGCGGCCCTAGGCGTCCCCCGACCCCCTCACGCTCTCCCAGTCATGTCTCTGCCGTCGCTGGCCTTGCTCGTCGCCCTCGTCCCTGCGGTTCTCGCTGCCCAGGCGCCCCAGTTTGCTCCCGCGGCTCTGACGCCCCTCAGCACCTCCACCAACTACACCGGCGCGACCAACAGCACCCTCGCCAAGCAGGCCGTCGTCCCCGGCAAGGTCTTCGACCGCTTCATCCAGATCTGGCTCGAGAACACCGACTACAACGACGCTGCTACCTCCGCGGCCTTCTCCAACCTCACCGAGCAAGGTCTCCTTCTCAGCCAGTATTATTCTACTACTCACCCATCCGAACCCAATTATGCCGCTGTCGTTGGTGGTGACTTCTGGGGCATGGGTGACGACAACTGGTATAACATCCCTGCCAAGTATGTGTCTATTTCCATCCCCGGCGATGACCAAAGCTAATCGCCCAAACAGTATTTCGACGGTGATTGATCTTCTCGAGGACAAGAACATCTCCTGGGCCAGCTACATGGAGAGCATGCCCTCTGATGGCTTCCAGGGCTTCAAGTGAGTTTTCTATTCCATTGCTTTGTGCCGCCTTGTTGCCTTTGAAATACGCCCGTTCGCCGGCCGTCCTTCTCAAAGCGAGCAGCGGGTATATGCTCGCGAATTTTGGCATTGTTGTCAGGGCATAAGTGTTTTCTGAGGCTTACGGCATCATGATTATCCCGCCGGACTTGTACGCGGTTGCTGACTGGCGGTACACCTACAGCTTCTCGTCGGCCAACTACCTCAACTCTTCCGCACCGCCGTACACCTACTACGTGCGCAAGCACAACCCGCCCATTCTCTACGACTCAGTCGTCCAAGTGCCCGAGCGCCTCGCTCGCATCCGCAACTTCAACGATCTCGCGGCAGACGTCAACGCGAGCGCAGTCCCGCAGTGGCTGTTCATCACCCCGAACATGGTCGACGACGGCCACGACACCTCCATCGACTTTGCGAGCGACTGGCTCAACTTCTGGCTCCCGTCCATGCTCTCTGACCCGGCCTTCAACGACAACCGCACGATCATCTTGCTGACCTTTGACGAGAACGAGTCGGACGACATTAACAACCGCGTCTACACCCTTGTGCTCGGCGACGGCCTGCCCGACAACCTGCGCAACACGACCGACGACACGTACTACACGCACTACTCGGCGCTCAGCACCGTCCAAGCAAACTGGGGCCTCAAGTCCCTCGGCCGCCAGGACACCAACAAGTAAGCCCCCTTCCTCCCACTCCCTCTGCACGATCCCTAAAACCGCACCCCTCCCAGGACCGTCTCAAACGTCTTCACCTTCGTCGCGAACGCAACCAACTACACGAACGTGGCCGTCGCCCCCTCCGCGCTCCCGCTCACGAACCTCACGGGCGTGTTCGACGGCCCGCTGAACGCGAACCAGTACGTGCCCTTCACGGCGCCGAACATGTCCGCCGTCGGCGCCGGCGGCCAGGGTGTCTTCGTCGCGTCCTCCCTCAACCAGAGCTTCACGTCCGCCGTCGCGCCCGCGCCCGTGAACCTCACCGCCCAGAACGAGACCGTGCCCGCGTCCGGCCCGCCGAACGCCAGCAGCTCCGCGGGCGCGCCCGGCGCGTCGGGGTCTGGCGCTGCCTCGGGCGGCGGGTCGAGCTCGGGCGCTGTCGATGCCAGGACGGTCTCGGGTGTCGTTGTCCTCGGATTGGGTGTGCTTGTTGGTGCTGCGCTGCTGTAAAATGCTTGTTCCTATTACTAGGAAGAGGCGGTGTTCTTTATTTTGTACAGTATTTCCGTTCTTGTGGGTGTAATTGATACTTGTAACGCATGACGGATTTTCACCAGAATCGTTGATTCTGTGTGAGGTGCTGGGCTCGTCTGCTGCCACTGCCGTGCTATCCTAAGGGACATGTCTGGCAGTCGATGTTCGGCATGTGCGTTAGTAAGTTTAACGCACAGCAGCTGCTTTCGCTGAAATCTCAGGGCCGCTGTGCAGGGTTTGATCGTACCAGGGTCTTGGTTGCTTATCGTGAGCCACAGATCTAACCTTGGGAAGCTTCGTCCCGTGTAAGGCCAGGCCGCAGTACTGCGTGCCTGGCTAGTCTCTTCACAGCAGACCTATGTATAATGGTAATGGTTACACCTACCTATATTTTGGCCTGCAAAGCACTGTGTACAGCTGTACATGAAAGTGCTCTGTACAGCCTCACTGCCTGCAGGCACAAACGATGCTGCAGGCGTAACACAGAACTCTAACCTTACTACAGTTCATGCACTCTAGGACCCTTGTCGGAGCGGCAGCAATTATATAAGCCGCATGCACAACGGTGTGTCGACTCCAAGCTCTCTGCCGCACAACAACAGAGCCCATCATCCTCCAGCCTGCTTGCTCACTATGTACACACTCGCAGCCCGGAACGTCTCCGCCGCAGACACGGGTCCCTGGCGTCCGGATCCCACCTTCCGTGGGACATGGGGAATCGTGTCTACCTGCTTGTCTACCCTTATCATCTCCGTCTGGAGCGCCATTCACGTCGATATACGCCCTCATCCTCAAAAGTGGTCCTTTCTCAACAGAATCCGGTGGTTGATCATCGGACTGTTCGCCCCTGACGTTCTTCTCTTTACGGCGCTCTGTCAGTTTTCCTGGACACACGAGTTTTCACAGTTGATGAGTGCTGGCTTAGTGTCCGGGCAGCCGCTAGCTTCCCGGGTCACTTGGCCAGGAAGGCTGTGGAGATCTATTCGGTGGAGTGAGAGTTCTAGGGCTAAGGTGAGTTGCACTAGTAAGCGCTGAAGCACACTGATTTGTTTTATGTTAGATCTCTTCCGACTTTTCTGGCTTATCGGAGGATCAGGATCTCCCGTTAGCAGAAGGGCGGTTTGAAGATAATGAAGTGAGTGAATCCTACATGGTTTCATGACAAAAAAATTTGGCAAGTATTTATGATCTTGTAGGTTGTTCAAGTCGGTAGCACCAGCATCCGCACGAATGCTTGGACGCTCACGCACGGTTACTACGCCACCATGGGCGGCTTCGTTCTCGATTCTTCATCGACCCCCGTCTTCGGCACAGAAACGCAACTCGTCCTCTCTCCAGCTATGATGGCCGTCATGATGAAACACGCTCCTGACATCATCCCCGACATCTCAGAAGATCACATCCGGCGGCAGAGCAAGTCGAACGCGCTCGCCAAAGCGCTGCTTGTTCTGCAGCTCATCTACTTCTCCGCCTCCTGTGTCGCGCGCCTTGTGCAGGAATTGCCACTCAGCCTCCTCGAGGTCTGGACTCTTGCTCACGCACTCGGCGCGATCCTCGTGTACGTTGTCTGGTGGAAGAAGCCGTTCGACATCCCGGAGGCAACACTAATTATGGGGGAGAGAGCGCGTGAACTGGCAGCTTATTTCCAGGTGATCGGCCAGCCGATGATACCAGTTGTCGCTGGAGTCTATCCTTTATCTGGCTATGTTGAAAGCGCCTATCTTACGATCACCCCTTGCGAGCTCTCGGAGGATAGTGGGAACGCCTCTGAGAGGGAGCAGGAGACGCTCACATTACTCCCCGGTCAGTCTATCCACGTTGAGGGTTACACCTTCGCTATCAACGCCAAGAAACTGGATCCCAGCAATCGCCGCATATTTGGAACAACCCATTGTCCGTGGCACGCTCGGAGGCGTGGCCCAGATGGCAGTGTCTCGCTTAGCAGGACCGACATCTTGCGGTGGCGGCTTGCTGCACGTGCTGCTACACGGATAGGCGGGGTCTGGTGGCACGAGGACGCAATTTGCTACACAAAAGCAGGTGGATTGGAGGCATCTGAGGGTATCCCAGCGTCCCGCATTCATCCCAGCTTATGCGCTTTCGTCGCTCTCATGACTACGTACGCACTACCGCATTTCTTGGGCTGGAATGCCGTGTTCCCGACACTTGTCGAGCGCACGATGTGGCGTGTAGCATCCATCGTGGTGGGAGCCTTCCCCATTACCATTTATGGTATCTATGCTCTCATTCCCAGCGATCCCTCCACTTTCCCCGGGAGTATCGCAGGGTTTTTGCTGTTGGCTGCATTTATCGCTGTGTACATCGTTTCGAACGTGTTTCTCCTCATTGAGAGTCTCAGACAGCTCCCCGACCTCCCTGATGGTGCATTTCTGCTTCCAAATTTCTCAGTATATTTCCCCCACTTCGCATAGCATCCTCCACATTTCACATGGCATCCTCCACATCTCTGTACTATTTATTGTGTCTCAGAGTCGCTGAATTCTGTCTCAGGACCGCTGTGCAGCTTTGATCGTACCAGAGTCTTGGTTGCTTATCGTGAGCCACAGATCTAACCTTGGGAAGCTTCGTCCCGTGTAAGGCTAGGCTGTAGCACGGCGTGCCTGGTGGCAATACAGTAGAGTAAACCGCAAGGTCCGCAACGCAAGATGGGCGTTCTCTTGAGAGGCGGTTCGTCAGCTCGGCTCTTTGCGACGCCTCGATCTAGCCTCGCGGCCTCCCAGTGCTTAGCATCGTCTGCTATTCTGTGCCACCGATGGTGCTTCACTGGGGGACTGGCCTTTACTGGCCTCGGCCCTAGCTCCAGCAATGCTGCAGGGGCGGTGCAGAACTCTAACTTTAACAGTTCAAGTTCATGCACCTTGGGGCCCTTGTCGGCGTGGCAGCAGTCATATAAGCCACACAGAGAAGGGCAAGTCAACTCCAAACTCTTCTCTGCACAACATAACCGAGCCCATCATTCTCTAGTCTACTTGCTCATTATGTGCACACTCGCTGCCCGTAACGCCTCTGCCGCGGACACAGGACCCTGGCGTCCGGATCCCACCTTCCGTGGTACATGGGGAATCATATCGACCTGTCTTTCTACCCTTGTCATCTGCGTCTGGAGCGCTATTCACGTCGATATACCTCCTCGTCATCAAAAGCGGTCCTTTGTCGTTAAAGTCCGGTGGTTGATCATCGGACTGTTCGCCCCCGACGTTTTGCTCTACACGGCGCTCTGTCAGGCTTTCTGGGGTTGGGAGCTGTCGCGGAATATGAGTGCTGGCTTAGTGGCCGAGCAGTCGGCGGCTTCCCGGGTCACTTGGCAAGAAAGACTATGGAGATCTATTAGATGGAGTGCGGGTTCTAGACTCAAGGTGATAACATTCGCCCTGTGATACGTGATAAGCACTAAGAATTACCGACTTGTTTGACGCTAGAACTCTTCCGACTTGTCCGATTTACCAGAGGATCAGGATGTACCGTTGACAGAACGCGTATTCAATAATAACGAGGTGAGTTAAGTCTACGTGGTTTAGCGCCGAGACCCAAGTTTGGCAAGTATTTATAAATTTGTAGGCTGGTATCGGCAGGACTTTGACGGGATCAAGCATCCGCAAGAATGCTTGGACGCTCACTCACGGTTACTACGCCGCCATGGGCGGCTTCATCCTCGATTCTTCATCGACCCCCGTCTTCGGCACAGAAACGCGACTGGTTCTCTCCCATAATATGATGGCTATCATTGTGAAAAACGTTCCTGACCTCATTCCCGATATTCCGGAAGATCGCATCCGGCAACAGAGCAAGTCGAACGAGCTCGCCAAAGCGCTACTTGTTCTGCAGCTGGTCTACTTCTCCACCTCTTGCGCCGCGCGCCTGGCGCAGGAGTTGCCACTCAGCCTACTTGAGATCTGGACCCTTGCGCACGCACTTGGCGCGATCTTCGTGTACGTTATCTGGTGGAAGAAGCCATACGACATCCCGGAGCCGACACTGATTATGGGGGACAGAGCGCACGAATTCGCAGCCTATTTCCAGGTGATTGGCTTGCCAACGATACCAATTGTCGCTGGAATACATCCTTTCTCTGGCTATGCTGAGAAGGACTATCTCAGGGTCGCCCCTTGTGAGCTTTTGGAGGATACTGGAATCATCCCTGACGAGGAACAGATGACGGTTAAATTACTCCCTGGCGAGTCTATCCAGCTTGAGGGCTACACCTTCGCTATCAGGGCCAAGGAAGCGGACCCTTTCGGTCGTCGTGTTTTTGGAACAACCCATTGTCCATGGTACGCTCAGGAGCGTGACTCAGACGGCAGTGTCTCGATTAGCAGGGCCGACATCTTGCGATGGCGGCTTGCTGCCCGCGCTGCTGCACGGATAAGCGAAAGCTGGTGGCCCACGGACGTGGTTCGCTACACGAAGGCAGGTGGATTGGGGGCATCTGAGGGTATCCCATCGGCGCAAGCTCTGACCATCTTGGGTATCTTCGCTACTCTCTTGATCGCGTACGCGTTGCCGCATTTCTTAGGCTGGAGTGCCGCATTCCCAACACCCGTCGAGCGCATGCTGTGGCGTGTAGGATCCATCGTGGTAGGAGTCTTCCCCATTACCATTTATGCCATCTTAATTCTCATGTTTCTCATCAACGGTTGTTCCTTTCTTGTTGAAGACGTAAATTACGTTCTATTCGGATTCTTCTCTCTGTGTTTTCCATTTATCGCCCTGTACATCTTTGCGAACATGTTTACCCTCGTTGAGAGCCTCAGACAACTCTTCCACCTTCCTGACGGCGCATTTCTACTACCAGAATTTTCAGCATACTTTCCCCATTTTGCATAACATTGTCTACCCTTTCAAACTATCTATTGTGTTACGTTGCGGATAGGATTTTACTAGGCCTGGCCTTGATTCAAGACTCAATTATCTCCTACTGGCCGTTATGCTCGCATGCTGTCACTCACGTTTCCTCTTGTTATTGAATAGCTATATACGGCCCGGTAGCTGTCAATCACAGTCCTTTCTACTATCCTTTGAGCTTGCGAGTTCATAACATGAGGGACTCCGCGGGTGCGCCTTCCGTAGCCTTGGCAAACTATGAGATGAACATGAGCCAGCGCTGCAGGACCTACCGTTTCACGCCCACTACATCTCACATTCAGTTGATATGCATCAGCGTTTGCTTGCAAAACGTGCGCAGCTGCTGGCAAGCACGCTCTGATCCCTAACGACGGCATTATCGAGGGCACCGCCTTGCTTATCGAAGGTGACGTTTTATGGACTAGAGCTGTTCACGCACTGGCTGTTGGCTACACAGAGGTTGAAGAGGTCTATCCCGGCCGATCAGCCATAGAAACACAAGTCAAAGGGAGCAAGAAGGGAGGCTCGCCCTCAAGGACACGGTAGACGAAGTTTGTGCCATTCTGGACATTCTTGGAGTTGCTTGCGTCGATCGCGGACGTGTTGCGGACGAAGATGCACGCGACCTGGTTCAAGAACTACCGTGCGACCTGCAGGTAGGCGCTGAGCATGCGGCGTCCACACCTCCGAGTAAGTGCACTGATGATACTTCTTGATTCTCAGACGCTGACGTTCTGCAGAGCAGCTGTTCTCAGAGGCTGCTCAGCACTGAGAACAAGTTTAGCGTAAACGAGAATAACGGCGAGCTTTCGAACATTTCCTTGTCCGCTTTGCTGATTTCTTCGTATGCGGATTTTGTGGAGCAAGGGTATGGCGAAGTTGATAATAGCTTTCATCGCTGATTCTTCGATAGATGGAACCTCCGTTTCTACGGTCTTGCTAACAACCTCCCAAACGTCAACACATCAGGCCTCGACTCACAGATTAATGACTTCGAAACCAACAACCTCAACCAAACCAAGCAATCCCTCCTACAAAACCGCACTCGGTACCTCTCCTCCATCCCCATCTCGCATATGAACCTTTCTGCCGTCGTTCTCACGAACGGTACGGTTCAAACGTCACAACGATGCCTATCGCATTGAACACGACTGAGACGTCGGAGAGTTTAACTAGTTCGTTACAGTCCAAAGCGATAGGGCCAAGGGTCCGGCGTGCAGGTCGTCGAGACGGGCATCATGAACATCAGCGGTCCAGGCAATGGCACCGCCATCATCGCTTTACTGCAGGGCATTTAAATCGTCTCGGACATCGACGAAGTGCTGCGAATCACGAATCAACAGCTTTATCGAGCCGTCCGTGATCTTGCGGAGCGTGCCCGAGCCTTTTGCGCAACGGCTCAAAGTGCCTCTCGATCGCATCCTTCCACTACGACACAACCACGCCCGTCGAGCTCGCACCCGCGTACGTCGACCGTCTCTTCGCGGACTTCTCACTGGGCAGTCTCGAAATGCGTCCCATCGACGTGAACCAGCCGGACCAGATTCTCGACGCGCGCCAGGGCAGCCTCCTGCGTCTATTCGAGACGTTCCCGCAGCGTAGGTTCGGTGCGCCTTTCGTCTATCATCGCCCCGCGCTGGATCTGATATAGACTAGTAGTGCTCATTGGAGACACCTCGTCCTCAATGCGCACCTGTCGTACTATAGCTAGAATGTACCGATAAGACGGCCGACAGAGCTTGAAGCGCCGGTGGAGGCACAGGGGTTGAGTAGGGCACGTATCAACAGTCTCAAGGATAAGACTTATGGTAATAAACCATAAAATGCTACGAGACGATATCTCCGCGATCAAAGTAGGGACCGTTCCTGGACAGGACGGGACATTCGGGGAACGAGGGGGGGGGGGTTGCTTATAGATGAGCATGTTCGGCTCTCGATTTTGTTACGTGGATAGCATACTCGCAGAACCATCAGATAGAGTGAACCCTTGAAGCCATAAACCGCACGCAGGATGGCCTGCCAAGACAACGCGTGGCGGAGGCATTCTGTGTTATTTCTCGTTCGTGTGGCGTCAACCTCGGCCTGCAGAACGTAATCAGGAAGAGCGCGTTTATGGGGTCTGTGCGCGAAAAAAAAATGTTGGATGAACGTGGTGGTAGAAAACAAGAAGACCCGCGACGAGCCGCGCTAGGATGAGCTGATATGTGCGTGGCGAGGTTGAGACAGATTCAGGGATAGGTGATAAATAACGACCGGAGCCGGGGAGAGGGAATTGACATACTTCGAGACCTACGTGAAGAGCAAGCAGCGGGGGAGGTGAACATGAGGGAAGAATGAAAAGACACAGGAAAGATATGGGTCAGCTCATCCTTTACAGGTGACATGAACGCGTCGAGTGCCAGGCCCCAAATCGGGGTCCCGACTTGCAGACAGGAGCAGACGACTGCAACCCGGGATAAAGGCCGACGACGTACCATCGGCGTCCTGGCCAGATATGGACAAGACCGTCACCGGAAGAGCTGGCGGAAATCAGTAATATGCCCGGGACTGACAACTACACCAAATTCCACCGAATATGGGGTGTACTCACCGGCACCCACTGGTATCCAGTGAAGTCCAGTGCTAGTCTCCAGTGGCTGCTGCTGTTGGCTGGTGGGTATCAGTGAGTAACAGTGGGTGGCAGTGAGACACACCGGATCCCGCTGGGCTTCACAGGTTGCCACCGGCTACTGGCACACATCACCAGCAATTTGTATAAAACATTGCTCGAAGCCACTGGCTTATCAAGTACCGATATAAATACAAATATTCTTCTGTAATAGGCTCAATAAATGCTTAGCCACTGGCATCTGTATAGATGCCTATTCTCATCTGAACTGTGCACTATCCCAGAACTCAGCTCTCACTGAAGTGTCTCTACACAGTACACTGTCTGAGTGCAAAAGGTGTGTAAAATTGATTGCCAGATGTGTCCCCAAGTGGAAGCAGCTGTAAGTAATTCTTTGAAGCATATTATACTACACAGACCTGGTTAGAGGCTCCTGAGATTTTTTATAAACTTTCTATAAGCTCAGGAATGAGCTATCAGGCAGTGAGGGCAGGCTGCCAGCAGTCACATTAATATTTCAACAGCTATGAACCTTGTTGTTGTGATTCTCAGGTAAATGTATATTCTCTGAGTGAGAATATGTGTAATATAAGCCATCTA